ACATGGAGGCCAGAGTGCGCACAAAGAAGGAAGAGGGGCGTCAAAGGATGCTGACAGGTGCTGCCCTTGAGGTCAGGGACTGTGTTTCAGTGACTATTCTACCACAGTCCTAGAACATGGAGAAACAGGTGTCCAGAAATACTGCAGAAGCACAAGGAAGAAGGGAAGGGAGGACCAGAAGGGAAGCGGAGGGAAAGCAGGTATGAGAGAGAGTGAAGAAGCAGTGGCTGGAGGGCCAGAGCTTGAATAACCCGGTCAGCGCAGGCCGAGGGGCGCTGGGGGAGGATGCAGGTCCTGGGGCCGAGCATGGCCCCGCAGTCTGTGTGCACCATGCTGCGCAAGGGGGCGCTACTCACACAGACTCCGGCCGCCGCCCAGCGCAGCTCTCACTACAGAGGCGATGTCCTGGAAAGAGCTGCAGCTCCCTCACTCTGACTCATGGGTTGACCAGATTCTTCTTCTGGCTTTCGTGGAAGAAAGAGGAGTAATGTCCTCTTCTAGAAAGGACATACCTGGGTTAAAATATTGACCCTTCTGCTTACTTAGCTGTGCAAACCCAAGTTCCCTGCATGCAAAAAGTGTGTTGTTCTTGTCCATGAATTTATCTCAGCACCTACACATAGAATGTCGTTCATAAATATTGGCAATAATTTTACTCATATTCGGGTTCCGTCATCTGTAATATAAGGAGCTGGCATTCGTCTCACACCGTATGTGATGCACAGAGAGGGTTTAGCAGAGGGCAGGCACACAGCTGGCAGGCACTTACCTGCTTGAAATAACAGGCTTTCATTTGGGGATGGAAATCTTCATCTGATGTTTGGTAATGTACCCAGTAACCTTGTGTCCTGTAAGCTGAGACTCCGGAGAGAATGCCATTAGCTTGGCATTGGCTCTTGCCATGCAACAGGGAAAGAGATACGACCGTTCCAGGCACACTGGCAATTAGTAAGCGGTGGCCAGAGATGAGTTTCCAGGGACACGTGGACAGTCCTGTGCCCGTCACTCGATGTGCCCATTGTGCTGTGCGCTAAGGTGAGGTTGTCCCCTGGCTTCTGGGCGCCTCTCACTGTACCCACACCCACAACGGTGAGGCTGTTTGGAAAGTTCCTGTGAAGGAAGTCACATTTGCCTCCATGTCGTTGTGTCACACACACGGAAAAAACAAATTTTAAGCTTCATGACATTATAAAATAAAATGTCAATTTTTAATGAATTCACAGAGCTCTAGTGAAATACAAAATCAAGCAGAAAATGTGGCATTATAGGTAGAAGATCCGTGGAAACATTAAGAATTTTATCAGGTCACAGAAGGAACGAAGATGCTTTTCTGAAGAAAATCGAACAAAAACAACTTTGAAGAGCTCCTATGTTTTATACTTTGTCTCCTCCTGGCCCTATGTCTCCCACTGTAAACATCTTTGCCTTTAAGATTTCAGTCTCTCTGCTGAGTGACAGTCCTACATATCTCTTGCTTGAAGATCTGTTTATTCCTTTGCAAAGGTGAAGGCAGAGGAAAAGCAATGGTGTAAGAGCAGAGCACTGAAGAAGAGGGTGAGCCACAGGTCACAGACACGAGGTCAAGGACCTGGGGAGCTCATACTTTCCAGGAACCACGCAAGAGCGAGAGGGAGACCAGACTCAACCCTCGTGTCCGCATGTATGTGTCCACGCTGGTGCTGACGTCCTCAGCTGAACGTGTCACACAGTAGGTGCGGGATTTCACAGCAGCAAGGAGTCGTGGCACAGTGCTTCCTTGCACAGGGTTTCTAAGCATTCAGTCAGATGAACTTACAGATTAGTACTGTCTGGTTTTACCTGGGTCAAACATCACAAAATAGACAACTATCTTTCAAAGATTCCTACAAGGAAACACCAGATAGAAGACCACTGCAATTATGCAAACCTGAATACCTGAAAGAGTTAAACTAATCTCTTCTCACAGCGCAACTCTTCCAAATCCACAGGAAAAGATAAAAACATGTTGACAATGGTCAAAGTCAGCCCTGATAAACAGAACTTACTGTCATGACAGAAATGGTCCCCGTTGGGGCTGTCCAGCATGGTCGCCACCAGGTACATGTTGAGCACCTGAAATATAGCCAAGTGCAACCGAGGAGCTAACGTTATGTTTTGGGGGTGTACATTGTACTGCCACATCCTACTAGACAGGACTATGCGTGTTTAAGAGACGAGCGCGTGTCCTGGCTGTGCATGCAGATGCTATCAGATACCAGCTGCAAGGCCTTCTTTGGCTTTATTATTCTGTGCCTTGATCTTCACAGAACCCTAATGCCTATGCCTCTCCATGGTGGTGGTTAGAGCGAAGTTAGTGACAAACTAGAAGTTCTTAGTATAGCCTACTCAAATTGGAGAAAAAGGAATACATTATTAAAATAATCTGAAATATGGACTGACAAACTTGTTACTAGTAAACCTTAAAGTTTATATTGGGTCACAACTGCAGGACAGTTACAAGTCATTTTGCTCATCTTCGTTTCTTTCTTTGGTATTTTTAGACAAGGTCACACTACATCTTCCATACTGGCCCTGTTGGCAAGGATGCGAAGGGAAGGGGAACTTTTATACAAGGTGTGATCTAAAATTGCTACAGAGGATGTTTGCATCTTTAAAAAGTCCAACGATCATAGATGCAGTGCCATTACCACCCCACCACAAACCCCGCCTCGCCCTGCACACCTCTCAGCACTGACACAGCTCACGGGTCCTCTCTTTAGTCGTTCCGTGGCCACCTCATCCTAAAGCGATTCCAAATGTTTGTGCTCATCCCGACTTTGTGGAAGAGCCGGGAGTGTCGGGGTGTCCGACCTGGGGAAAAGGTGGATGAGGACACGGCGTCACATCCCCAGCCTGCCTTCCCAGGCTGGTGTTCACTGATTCCCCCTTTTGCACTTGAATTCACTTCTTTTTCCTCTTTTCCCGCAGGAGCCAATCTGGGAGAGCACTGTCCACGGTTGGATCTCCTTAGTCTCTTCTGTCCCTGGCAGCTTCTGGTCCTTCCTTTTCTTCCTGACTATACTGTAAGCCCCTCACTTATGAACATTCAAGTTGTGCACTTTCGCAGGTGCACTGCAAAAGACTCACTCTGTTGGATTACGAATGAATCCAACTCTGGAACATTCTCCCGCAAGGGACTGTTTGTAAGTTGAGGTATCCTGTAACAGTTTTGAGGATTAAGGTTCAGCTAGTCTGTGGATCCCTCAGCTTCCATTTGCTGCTGTTCTCATGACTAGATTGGTTAGATTGACACCGTGGGCTTTTATGCCCACAGAGAAGTGTCCTTATCCTCACTCTGAGGTGTGACATCAACACGACTGGTCACCGGTAGTGTTCAGCATGGCCACCTGGCGAAGGGAGTGTCCGTCAGCCTTCTGGCCTGGCAGGTTGCTGCGCAACTTTCTGGCCTGTCAACTGGCTGTATTTCTGTCCTTTGGAGACAAGTGACCAAGCCCAGTCCACACTCAAAGGGGAGGGGGCCAGGGGCTGAGAACGCTACAAAGCAGTTCTGCTTAGGCTGATGCTGAAGTAATTTTTTATGGAGAGTAAAAAATTAAAATTAGAAGAAACGAATAGAATGGGAAAGTTAAGTAGCTTTCCATTTATTTCCCAGACAAGGATTTCAAAGGATATTCCATCCAAATTCTTTTCAAAGAGTTTGCAAGACTTTGCCACAGTATGTAAGTTGCTTGTTCTCTCAGAATCACCCAGAAGAAAGAGAGAGAATACTTCAACTTGCAGGAAACTAAAAGAAATATGAAATCTCAGCCCAAGGCGCACTAGGAAGGGAAAGTGAGGTGCAGAGAAAACAACTGTGGGGGGACAAAGGGGTGGCTGCCCATCCTCCTGGCTCTCAGGCAGACTTAGCAAGAGAAAAAGCACACAGAAGGAGACATCAGAAAATGCGTAAAACTGGAAAAGAGGTAACACAGTTATATATACATATGTGACTGTGCTCAAGGGAAACTGAAGGAACGCCTCTGGGAAGGAGGTGGGAGCCTCACGCTACACGTCTACTGCTCATGCCTAATCACCTCTTTTCAAAAACAGGAGTAAGTGCTGCATTACCTGTGCTGAGCTATCCGCTTCAATCACCTATCATCCACCATAAAAAACCAGGCTCAGCAGAAACATCTGACACAAACACCCAATTTAGAAATAAATCCAGGTCCTGGTAAAAGAGGTGTTCTCAAACTTGAATAGGTGGTACTGTTTCTTATCGCCAGGACGCAGCACCCGACACTCACAACTTAAAGGTTTCATTAAGCTCACGGTTTCAGGGGATGTGGTGCCGGCCCACAGGCTGAGACAGGAATCTCACAGTGAAGGGCTGTGGCAGAATAAAGCTGCTCAGCTCACGGGGGCTAGGAAGTGAGCAGAGAGCGGCACCCAGAAGCGGGGAAGGGTCAGATGCAACACCCAGCCGCACCCAGAAGTGTGATCCACTCGTCCCTGGGGGAGCTCCCAAGCCAATCAATCAGGCTGACACATGCACATTTAACCAGCACAGCTATCATCTGTCACTCTTTCTACATGACAAAGAAGTTATTTTGAAATGTATCTTTCGTACTTTCAAAGCTGGGGATTCTATGTCTGGTTATCACTACACTCTCTAATAAAAACTATTCCATTTCCCAAACGGAACTGACCGTCATTCAATGAAGTGGAATCTTTCAATAACTGTCCCTAGGCCACTCGGCATTTGATCAGGATCCTTCTGCATTAGAAGGCCTTCCAGGCCTGCTGTGCTCCTAACTCCTGAGCACGCCTATGTCCGTGCTTCGCTCCACACCTCCGAAGACAGCGTTTCCTGTGCTCAGTGACCTTCACCCCACTGCAATCATCCTCGCTGCTGGGGGCAGCTCAACCCCAGCTTTCTACAAAGCGCTGTGCAAACCACGTGACAGGTGTATCACAGACCCACACACAGGCACACACACACAAAGGCAGCAAAAGACACAAAATGACACAAAAGCAGAATGGTCAGTTTAAAAAAGTTATTTATTAAACAAGTTGAATAGAACTAAAAGTACGTATAAAAGTCCAAATTATTGATCTCTTTTTCAAATATGTATTTTGGGAACAAACTTCTGTCAATCTTTTTAATGATAAAGGATAAAAATTAAATTGATATCAAAAAATTCTTAAACAAGTAACAAAGCATGTGGTAAAGGCAGAAATAAAGACCCAGCCAGAGAAACTGTTAAACTATGGAACTAAAATGTCCCATACGTGGTTCTGAGCGCCTCTGGTTACGGGGGCTGAGCTATGCCCGAGGGCAAAAGCAACACTGTAAACTCACCTTACGACAGCATCTTACTGTGTTACACAGGGTAATATTTTAGAAACAGTATGTGTTTGGCATGTGAACTGTCCACTTTAAGCAAAACACACTGAACATATGAACATCATTTATACTTAATGGAAGACAAAACAAAGCTTGTAATTTATATGTCTTCATTTGAGATACTCTGTGGGTTTGGGAATTCTGTTAAATTCCAACATCATAATCACCAAATGTACTATCAAAAGATAATAATTCATATTTTAAAAAAGCACTTCTAAAATTCCCTTACTTTACGGTGAAAGGAAGTACAGTCTTGGCTCATAAATTATGACGCTCAGTTTCTAGGGTTAACACAGAAAATAGTGCAAGAGGGAGGAGCCCTGCGGAAAGCCTCCGTCTGGTCAGCAGTTCTAAGTCGGCAGGTGCTTGTGCTGGAAACCTAACCCTGCCCAACACCCGTCCCAGGCTTTCGGCCCTACCTGACGATGGCGGAACACACGCAGACCGGGGACGCAGCCCGCTGCAGGCGCGGGTGAGGGCTCTGGAGGAAGTCTGGGCTGTGTGCGTAAGCAGTTTATCTGGAACCGTGAAGCCCACTTCCGTGATTAGGTCCCAACTGTTTAACAGAAACCCCAGGTCTGGAGCGTGAGTGGACTCCGAGCCGCTCCAGCGGCAGCGGCACATCTCGCCTGCCCGCGTTCCGCCGCGAGCACAGGGCCTGACGGCACACTCGCGCCCCGAGGGCTGCGCCGGCTCAGTCCGACAGCGAGGGGGAGCGCACAGACCTGCCGCTGGCTGGGCTGGAGAAGGCGAAGGGCTCCTTGTCCTTGTCCCTGCTGTCGTGCTTGTGCTTGTGCTTATGCTTGTGCTTGTGCTTCTTCTTCTTCTTCTTGTGCTCGTGGTGGTGGTGGTGGTGGTGCTCGCTGTGTCTGGAGGCGGCGGCCTCTTTCGCGAACACGGAGAGCGGGGCTGCCGCCACGGGGTGCATGCTCATCTCCAGAGACTGCTCCTTCCCTTCAAGATGAAAACACCCGTATCACTACCCCGAGACAAGTAAGACTGCAGTCCGAGGGCGCTGGCGGCAACGCTGTGGGAAGAAGGGGCCCCAAGCGCTCCCCACTTCCATCTGCAAAGGGACAAGACCCCAACCCCAAGTCCCCCGGTCACAGAGCTCTCAGCACCTCGGCCAGCACGCTGGCTACTTCAGTTCTATGCAGCCCGTGACGCATTACGACAGATACCAGGGTGCGAGCAGCTCGTCGCTCAGGCACTCATGTGTGTAAGGACTGCGAAGAGAGAAGAGCGATTACCTTTGGGCCCCAGGTTAAAACCTACACTGTCAGTGAAATATAGCTCCCTCAAATACAGTTGTGCCCTACTGCGTTCCGGGGGGAAGGGCCGCGGGCTATGTGCGCTGTTCACACACAGGACACGTTACCCTTACTACTGGCAACGAGGCCTTAGTGACAGTCCAGGACCCCTGGCAAGGGACAAGCAAGGGGGCCTCTTTAAGAGGTTCCGCCCACACTCGCTCTTCTCACACCCTAAGCCAGCTTCTTGTGGCCAGGCTGCTCAAAGCACCAGAAGCAACTTCGCCCAAGGTGAGCGGCAAATCCGAGGACTTTCAGGTTGCCACAACTGGGGCGGGGAGAGGAGCGTCCGACGCCGGACAGGTCAGCACCCTGCAGCAGACACGGCAGAAGCTGTCAGGGGCCTCCGTGCCGGGAAGCCCTGCGCGCAGCCACTGCCGAGAGGAAAGCTGGCAGTGACCTCTACTGAAGGCTCAGCTGGCTGCTGGCAGAGCACAAGCCTTGGAGTCAGGACAGCAGCTTCTGAAATATCCATTTTAAAATCCAAACAAACGAAAACAAAACCCAGACTTCACCAAAATAGACATCAATGCAACAGTTTCTCTTCTTTAAAAAAGTAATTTCTCCCTACGAAGTTTGATCCGAACCAGCCCCCAGGCCTTTCCACCAGAACAGGCAGCACCACAGACCTGCAAAACCCTCACACTGCAGCATGGATCAGACCCACGGCCACGCGTCTGCTCCCACAACACTGAGAGTGTGTGTGTACAAATGTCACTCCCTGTGCTTGGAAAGCCCTTCCGGATCTGTCTGATTCTCATGCCTCTAACAAACATCAAAACCGATCCGGGGTCTGGGGAAAACAGCAATGAACTGGAGCGACCTTGACGCCTCTGCCGGGGCCCAAGCTCGTCCTCTTCCTCTGTGCCCGGGGCACAGGGGGACCGCCATCCCCAGCCCGCCCGGCCCCGACAAGCCCATTTCAGAACACAAGTGTACAGCTGCTCCTCCTCAGAGAGGGTGTCAGGTGAACTCAGTCCAAATAAAGACAATGCGAAGGTCCCTGATTTGGAGAGAGAGGAATAAAGCAAAAAACTATCAACAGATCATGCATCCAACTCGTACTTGACTATTCTACTTCCTCTGGGGCAGACACCGTTCCACTATTTTAGAACAGGTAACAGTGGCAGAAAGCTTGTTTTCCCAGACTCTCCACATTTCACTATCACAGAAGATGTTTTATATCCGTGATCATTTTCTGCAAAGCTAGCGCTAGTCCTACTGCAAAATCTCAGTATTTACACAGAAAAGCTAGCCGGAGAATCTGTACTTTGCAGGACTCGGTCCCCTGGCAGCTCGGTGGCTGCTGCTTAGCGTCTTTAGGGCCTCGGTTTGATGCGGGGCAGGCAGTGAGAAGAGCTGCAGAGGAAGAGCGGGCCGGAGGGAACGGGAGGACCGGAAAAGGGGAGGTGACTGGGACCCGCACAGCTTCAGGAAGAAGCTGAGAGGATACCTGATTCAGTTTGAGTCAAATACCTTCATTCTGATTTGAGATGAAGGACATGAGCGTGCTCCCTCTGCGGTAAACACAGGGGCCGCACTAACAGCACCGCCAGGCAGCAAGGAGAAGTCCCAGGGGACTTCAAACCTCTGAGAGTTCAGCTGCCGGCTCAGCAGCAGCACACAGGGGCGCCGCTCCGCAGTGCCGGCTGCCTGCACCTCTGGGAGCCTGAGGTCCCGCTCTGCGCCGAGCTTCACCACCGATCCCACGCCTGCCCACTACCAGGGCTGTGGAAGAGCCGAGGATCCCACTGGAACGGGGCCTCCCGGGAAGGGAGGGGCCACACGGAAAAGCGCCCCAGTTCTCGCGGGACACTTACAGCCCCTTCCAAAGGGAACCCCACCTCTCCTTTGAGACCCAGCAGCTTGCCTTAGGGTATACTGATTACAAATCAAACTGGGTCAAGTTCAATCAACGTTGATCTTATGGGCGAATTTGGTTCGGTTCACGTCCAATTTGGTTTGTGACCAGAATCGTGAAAGAATTACGTTTGAGAACTGAGGAACCAGTGCAAAGGGTACAGCAGCCAACTGTAATGTGGGTCCTGCATGAACAGACTTACACAAACGAACTGTTAAAAATAACAATCACATTTATGAGTTGCAAGGGGCTATTAATACTATGAAGGAATTATGAAACCTTTTGGTATAGTATTATTATAATAATATTACCATGGGATGATCTCTAGAAGTCCTACCTTTTAGAGACACATATTACATTACAAATGTAGTAAGATCTGTTTCAAAATAACGTGCAAGAGCAGAAATGCGCCTGGGCACAGACTAAGCACTGTGGAAATGAAGGACGATGAGACCCCCGGAGCTCCTCACACCAGGCGGTACTCGACCGCTGTCCCCAAGGAAGCGCTGTCTGAAGAGCACATGTGAAGGACCTCTGGCGGTGTCTGTGAGAACGTCAGAGCTCCACACTCTCTGACTTAGAAAGTCTACTGCTAGACCTTTACGCACACACACACACACACACACGCAGGGAGTGGGCTTGGCAGTGCCAGCGGCAGCGAACCGCCTGACCCGCGCTGTTCCACCACCACCTCCGCTCTCAGCTTCGTTTACTACCACAGCACACGTTTTATTTGGCTTTTATGTTTCCTAAGAAACGTTTACCACGTCTAATCCAAGGTACCGTGCAGCACGGGCTCGCTCCCCAGCGGGCCACATGGGCCATATTTACAGTCAGACTTGGGATACACACGACTTCACTCAGCGGTGTACGGAGGCTGCCTTCGGGATCTTTCATCAAGAAAGTGTGGGTATCACCATCCCCCGGACAGAAACACACAACACTTCAAACACCACCTCAGGCATTTGTAAGACGCTCAGGTACCTGCGGCCCACCTAGATCCGAATCAGTCATCTCCAGGCTGATGAAAGCCCTTCCAGTGACCGGAAATGCTTTTCTACTTTAGACAGCACATACAGCAGAGGAAGGAAGTGCACATAATTCAAAACACTGTAATTTTCTTATTTCATGTTAGATACAAAGAACAAAAAAAACAAACTCAGTTTTGTCCTAGCGAATATAAACTCTTTCCTGAAGACCTAATAAGGGGCCCGTAGGAAACGGTGGATAATCCTGATCCTATTACGTCTATTCACGGTAGATGCACATCTGACGTTCACAAAACCTGGGCTTTCTGTGAGGGAAGGTATGACTTTGTTCTCTGGATTTGTTACATCACTGAAAAAAATGAAGTTGAACAACATTATAATAGAAGGATAAAAAGAATCAAAGTCTATTTTTCATACTGAGTTTCAAAAGAAAGACCTGTAGGGAAGGCTTCCAAGCTTTAAAAACATTGTTTGTCTTTTTAAGCAAAGTTTCCAGCATCAGAATGGCGCCCTTCTTCTGCCTTAGGCTAGGCAGCTGCGGGGCTCTCTCGGCTCTCCCACACAAGCTCTAGGGGACCCTGTGGGCCCTGAGGGAGCCCACAGCCTTCCCTGCAGCCTGATCTCCTCGCCTCACAAGGGGAAAGGAATCGCGTGGGCAAGAGCACACCTCGCCTCTCCCCTCTCGCCTGCGCCCTAACCTACAACCACAAGCGCCCACGCGCGGTAGCCCATGTCCTCACCTCCTACCGCGGCTTGCGGGGGAGGAAGTGGGCGCCTGTCCCTATGGGGTAGCTCCCACTCCTGCCCGCACCCCTTCTTCCCAGCCTCCCTGCATGTTAAGCAAGCAGCCTCCTGCGGATAGCAGGAAAGGAGCGCAGAGCGCAGGCCCTGTGGAGAGCCCGAGTGCAGCTGTTTCAGGACAAGCTGGAAACCAAGTCTTCTGCGCAATCGCTCAGGTGTAGCCGGCGCACGCAGCACATGAAGAAGCCCCGACGAGCAGTAGCCCAGGGTCTCCACGTCTGATCGCTGCTCGGTGCGGCTCCCGTGACCCCCACCATCACAGCGACCCCTGAGAGCTGAGTCAGGACACGGGACTCCTCTGTGTATATAAGAGCGAAGCATGGTTGACACAAATAAATCCAGCGGCTGGAACTTAACCAGAAGTTCACGGGGGGGTGAAGTCTAATGAGTGACTTTTGGAAAAAATACCCTCTAACGATGACACTGTTTATATATCATCCTGTTCTCAAACCCCGCTCCTTCAACACTTGAAGACTGAATCTGCCTCCTGCTAGTTCATCAGCAATGAGCGTTTACTCTGGTTATAATCGCTGTAAGCAACAGGGGAAGAAAGTAAAACAGAATGGCTAGCGCACACCTCTGCGTTGGATTACCTTCATGAACGCAGGCCTAATTAGTGTGGGCTAATTCACAAGCAAATATGTTAAATTTTTATCGAGGTAGTGCCTCAAACCAGTGAATCACCAATCCAACATGGGAGTGGTAAGTGGTTGATTTTTATATTTTTTAAAGGTACAATGATAAAGTTTCATCCTTTTTATTAAAGTTAGCACTTGCCAGGATATTTAGAAAAAACGCTTTAAGGAAAGAGTGAAACGTTAATATAATGGCGATATATAACGGCATAATGAGGAATGCTTTTCCCTCATGTATTTTTGTTATTTCCAAGTTTCCTGTAACAGCAGTGTATTACTTTTGATATAGAAAAGCTTTAAAGTAGTGTTCAAATGTAGATAATATAAGGTCAATGCATTGCTAGACAAGCAAGTACTAGGAGCAGTACTTTTAAGCATTTTTTAAGTTAATAAAGTAACATCTATGAAGTTCAGAAATTTACTCCTCAGTAAAAACAAACCAAAACAAAACAAAAAACCCAACCTGGGAAAGAGAGACCCTGATTGAGCGAATGATACCTGCTCCCTTGCGTGCGAGGTCCAGGCCCCAGGGGGGCTTCGGGGTGGGGGCGCCCTCACAGCCTGGCGCGCGCGGGGGCAGCAGGGTGGACCGGGCGCTGGCTGGGCGGCACTTAGAGAGCCCTAAAATCCAAACCAGAGAGAAGACAGAGATGTAGTGCTTTGTTTCCAAAAAGCTGAACAAGCTTTGACAGGTGTTTACAAATTAGCCTTAGACAGAAATAGCTCAACCCCGACAAGACTGTACTAACAGAATGCGGTCACAAACCACGAAGGAGGCCATTTCATTCAGGGCTTGAGAATGACCCACACAGAGAGACAGACAGCAGCCCGGGCGAGGACAGGCCTGACGGCGCATGGCACAGGAATCAGACCCATGTCACGCATTTTACTTTTTATGCTAAACTCTGCAGAGTAGTGTGTCTGCACCTTCCAAACCTGCTGAATTCCATTGTAAAATTTACTGAAAAATAGATTAAAATAATTGAGGGTGTACAGAAAGTTTTTTTACCACAGGTGCTTTAATAGCCAGCATGAACAGCATCATTGAATCATCGCAGGCTCTCAGAGATCAGCGTCGTCTAGGGAAGTCATCTAACTTTCCTTGAGTCTGCCATACAACCGCTCGGGTCACTTATAAAAGCCAAACAATTCATCACCTAGCAGTTTCCTAGTACATCTTAGGCCCATATCCTACCTGAAGCCAGTTCTCAAATCCCCTCAGCTCTTCTTAAGATTACCGACAGTAAAAACAATAAAGGTCCCATAAATAAAACTCAAACAGAACGCCAACAAACAAAAAGCAAACCAAGGGGAGCAATGGGAACTTCAACACACTGTTCTGTGTTAAACAGAATAAAAAACCGCACTCAAAGGTAAACATCACAGACAACTGCCTGGTATGATTGAGATCTGCAAGTAAGCAGAAAAGAAGGGAAGAAGGAGAGGAGGAAAAGAAAATACACGTCATGGGAAAAGTACATTAAAAAGTAAATCGGAATTTATCATTTTATAGTTAATAAGAATTTTAAGTCATTACATTCATGATGACGAGAGTGTTACGGCAGACAAGATGACAAATGACAGGTAAAGTACACCTGATACAGCAATATGAACTTTAAAGACAGTACTGAATTTGAAAGGTCATGTTGTCACCACTTTCATAAACATGCAAAAATCAAAAGTGAACATGCAGAATCATAAACCTATGTGGTACATTGGAGAGAAGCAACAGAATGAAGTTAAGAAAAAAGTCAAGGCAGCCGTGGGGCGCGGGGCGCAGGGGAACATGGGGACGGGGCCAGGAGCGTGCAGGGTGTGTGTGTGTGTGTGTGTGTGTGTGTGTGTGCATGTGTCGCACGGGGGATGAGCTCATGGGGACTCACTGCGCTGTTTCCTTCACAACGTCACACAAGTCATACCAAGAGCGCTACCTGTTCTTGGAAACCCTTAGATGCTTACAACTTACGCAGGTACGATCCTGAAAAGCACTATGGTGACAGCACGCAGCGAACAGTCCCTGCGGTGAGAACACACTCTGGTGGTTTTATTCTAAGAACACAACCCAACAGCAAAAGGAACAAGCGCTTCTGGAGGAACAAGTGCACAGAAGCGACCCTGCACGCGCCCCACCAGGAAGTAACGTGGCAAACTACGCGCATCAGCCAGCGCTGTCTCAGTGTTTCCAGAGGAAAACGCTGCCTCGGAGCGCAGGCTGAGTCCTGAAACACTACCCGGACCAGCTCGCGCGGCAGAAGGCGCCATGCAGGCAGCACCGATCCCAGCAAGGAAACTGAAAAGTACGGTTACGTTGTTAAAAAATAAATCAGATACACTCTGACATTAAATCTACTACATACATGCACATACAAGAAATTAAAGCTATTATAAAGAATCTGATAGCGATCTTATAAAAACAAATTCCGCAGTATGCCAAATACTTATGACAGACCAAATGCAAGAGATCGGAAGAAACACTCTTCCACGACTCGGCTCCTGTGTCATCACGTGGCTGCCCCTTCCCGCCCTCCGCCCCTCCCGGCCGTGCCCTCCTACCTGGCGTGGACGGCCTCTCCAGCATGCTCAGGTGGTGGGAGATGAAGGCCTGGCTGTCGTGGACGGTGTCCATGTCCACCTCCTCCTCATCCTGAGAGCCAGGGAACTAAAGCACGGGCACACGGGACAAGAGGAGAGACGCGCCGTCAGGGCTGAGCCCTCAGGAGCACACACGTGGCGCATGACCTTCTCAGAGAAGCAGGGGCCATGCAGCAGCCTCAGAGGATGCAGACCGGACATGACTGACATGCAGCAGCAGCTAAGATCTACTCCCACACGGGGGAGGGTGAGCTGCGGGGGCCCGGAAGGTGCACACGTGGCTCCTCCCCAAACAGAGAAGACGGGCAAGCACGGACGGCCACCCACTGGCTGGAGCATCCCAGCAGGCGCTGGGCGCCCGCGTGTCCCTGCTAAGGAGACACACTGTGCGCGTCCCGGAGAGTTCCGAGAAGCTGGGTCCCTACACTGCCAATCCAGGCGGCACCTGCATCCCTTCCTCTGACTTTGAGTTTGACTGTCCCGCCAGCCTCACTCTCCTCCAGGACTCGCCAAGGCTCTAGGGGGGATCCCGGAGGCGCATCAGCCTTCCTCTTCACTCCCTGCACAGGGGCCGACACACTGTCTGACAGTGCCCTGGCGAGCCACTCCTCTTCCTGTGGCAATATTTAAGCTCGAAATTAGATTCCCAAGGACAGGTAGATGGGAGGACAGCTGATAATGAGCTATGCCAACCATGCAGATTGGAGTATGTGTGGCAGCTAAGGGTTATCAGCAATGGGCTTTCAAAGTGTAACCCTCCCCTGTCTGTTACTGGAAAATATTTGGGTGAACTTCTAGAGCAGAGATGGTGAACCTTTTAGAGCTTACAGCCCATTATGACACGAGTGCTGCATGTTCACCACCACTGCTCTAGAGCTTTTCTAGAAGAATGTGTCATCTTGTGTCACTTTCTCCTCTTATATCTTGAAGGGTAAACAAGGATAAATTGGCCTATATGGGCAAAAATTATAAAACTTATTTTTACAGATTTAGAAATATTTAGATTAGAAAGGACTCTCTAATTAGACTTTATTTCTATATAAGCCTTTTTCATCTTATCCAAATTCTAGGACACACTTTACTTGTATAATAAGTAACTGGGGGGTCAGGAATATACCTCAGCGGTACAGTGCCTGCCTTGCAAGTACAAGGCCCTGAGTTCAATTCCTGGCAAAAAAAAAAGAAACCAACCAAACAAACAAACAAACCTGGGTTTCAGAAAATTTAGGTAAATAAGTAAATTTTAAAGTAGCTATTATGCCAGACGTAGTGGCAAATGCCTGTAATGCCAACAATGGGAGGCTGAAACAGGAGGATCTTTGCAAGATGGAAACCAGCCTGGGCTACAAAGTGAACTCAAGACCAGCCTGAACTGGGTAGTGAGATCCTGTTTCAAAAAGATAAAATAAAATAAAATAAAATAAAATAAAATAAAATAAAATAAAATAAAATGCTATTATTAATTACTACAGAAGAATATGAGTTTTAAAAGTGTTAAAACACCAGTACAGAACTGCAAGGCAAGTAATCTGGTCTAAATATCGGTGGAAAATGAAGCTTTATGTCAGAGACATTTTGTCTCCAATGAGACAACTGTTTCTGGGTGACTTTCTTTGTAGTAAGATGGTTAAAGTGTATCCCGCAAGTCTTCTTACAAAATGCCCACTTCAGAGCAAAAGCTTTTCTAAAGGCAAACTCAGACACACAAACTTAAAAATGTACTGTCCTCTCTTCCCACGCAGGCACTCTTCATTCCCGAGCTGCATCAGTTTTTATTTTCATTCAACAAGAATTCAGCAGCTGCGTTGTGTGTGTTTAGGGTGGTGCTGGAATTTACAGTGAGGGTCGTCAAGGACAGGGCCCTGTCCACAGTCTGCCCTCAAGGCACGTGACAAGGTAAGACGCAGGGGCCATCACTGCAATTTTCTCCTGCTCGGAACCAATCCTGTGCTCAGGTGAAACCTCAAGGCCTCACGGAAGCGAGCCGGCTGACAGCACGCCCTCCGCCAGGTCAGTTACGCGGCCAACGGGAGCCTTCTGCGACCCACGCACAGGCGTCAGCCAGGGTTGTAAGGGCACAGCGTGCCTCAGCGGCTGGCACACCCGTGCCCGCTCTGCCCCAGGAAGCAGCCCTCTAGGCAGCCCCAGAAACTCGCTGTGCCTGCCAGGGTGCAGGGTACGTGCGGCTCTTACGGGGTTCTGAAATCCAGCCAGCGGTGCGTGACTGCTCGGGTTACTTGCGGCTTCTTGGCTGCCCGCAACCACCTCTGGAATTATGGTTGGGTTCAAGACAGCTTTTTTCTCCTTCAGGTTAAGAACCAGTCCGAGCTCTGGCAGGGGCAGACAGGAAGGTCTGCTGAGGCCGAAGAGCGTGAAGTACAGGTCCACGGCGCCACAGCGCAGCCTCCAGTCGTGCGAGGTGCCTGGGAAGCAAGCAGCGAAGAAAGCGATCGTCACACCTCTCCTCGTACAAATGAGCAGCGGTGCCACTGAAACCCGCCATCCAAAGCGAGAGCTCTTCCGTGGCCCGGCGCCCGCGGGAAGGGGCGAGCTCCCTGCCTGTTCACTGGGATGCAATCTTAAGACATAAAATAAATAGCAACGCTGTGCAGGTTCGTATTTACAGTTCTTCAACCAGCCTGGCACCCTCATATAAATTCTCATCTCTGCGACCGCACGCGGCACAGCGAGTGGATGCGTGAAGGTTCTCACGCCCACTGCGAGAGGCCGCGGGGCAGCCGACTTTACAAAGACCGAAGTGGGACGCGGTCCTGAGTGCTACCGAACTGGAAATCCGTTACGAGGCATAATTTCCTTAAAGACACCTCACCGGTTCTCACCAGAGTTCATGAGCTTCCAAAGCTGATCCACCAGGGCTTCGTTGCACAGAGGGGACTCCGTGCTCTTTGTGAACGGCGGGTTCTTCGTCAGCATGCTGAGGATCTTGTGCCTGCAAGAGTACAGCACAAAGGGTCTTTACTCTCCGCTGACCTGTGCGGAGCGACAGCGCAGACGGGGTAAAGAACGCGCAGACACCAGGAGTCAGTACAGCCCTACGGAGGATAGCTGTGTCATTTGCAAGAAAACGGGTGGACCGGAGATCCTGTTTAGTGAGTAAGTCAGGCGCAGAGAGACAAGTGCTCCACGCCTCCCGAGGAGGACGACTGAAACAAAGACCAATGCAAGAATGGACTCTAAAGCTGGAAAAGAAAAGGGATGAAGCGGGGAGGGAAAGTAGTACAAGGGGGAAGACCGTCAAAACATGTTATCCTCACGTATGAAAGCACACCGCAACCCAGTGTTCTGTAAACTTGGTATGTACCAACGAAACATATATGAGGTCACGGATATACAGTGAAGTTCTTTAAAGCCTAACTAATCTTAACCAATGTTTACCATCCCACTTTCTACACAGGAAATACTGTACTCTCCTCAGAAACTGGACCCTCCAAAAAACCTTTAAATAGCAAGGTAAAAATATCACATATTGACCTATGTCCACCAACAGACGGATGGATAAGGAAAATGCATTTACACGCAGTGGAGCACTCCTCCGCCAGAAAGCAGGGTAGACTGCAGTCATCTGCAGGAGATGGGTGCGCCCTGAGACCGTACTGCTGGGTGACGTCAAGCAGACACAGGAGGTGACGGGTCACACTGCTTCTCTCATACGAGGCACTGAGAGTGTAACTAATTTAATTCATTTAACGGACAGAATAAAAGCTGGGAAACAAGGAGACAGACCTTTTCCAGAGGAGAAGAGGACCTAGGCCAGAGGCAGAGACAGCGGGGAAAGGGGAGTAAAAGGTTTTGCTGCCATGCATGAGTTTCCCACAACACATGCATTCACTGCGTATCACAATGCATTACTGAAAAACTACAGTGCTAGAAGGAGACAAGGGCCCCTTCTTTCTTTACAAAAGCAAACAGTCGAATTATGAAACGAACACTTACACACAGGGAATGCTCACACTCAGGCACCAGGGCTGCCAGACTCTGGCCTGAGCACTGGACCTGGTCTAGGAGTCAAGCACACACCCTGCAGAAGAGACGCTCACTCCGGCGGGTGAAAGAGCAATTGCCAGTACCTGTAATTAGTTTTCTCGGCTCCTGACTATTTCTACCAGTATTTCTTAAAGGAAAGCATATTTTAACCACCAAGAAAAAAGAACCAATGACAAAGTTTAACCCCAAAGTTCTTCTGAGTTTTATCTACCAAAATTTGCAACCTAGTAATTCTGAAACAAACAGAAAATAAATAGGAACATCTACAAACTTTTAAATTTTTAATCCTTATTGAAGGTCATTTTATAGCCCACACAAATAAATGCTTGAAAGCTGGGCATAGTGGCTCATGCCTGTTATCCCAGAATTTGGGAGGCTGAGGCAGGAGGATCACTGAGAGTTGGAGACAGCCTAAGACCCATTCCCAAAACACCAAATCCAAAACAAACAAAAAACCTCAAAAATAAATGCTTGTGTTTGGGGCAGGCGAGAGAAATGGCTCTGATTTTAAGAAAGACTGAAACTTTTAGTTGTGTCTTAAAAATTAAGGAATCTGTGGAATTAATACAACCAAACACAGCTTTTCTATAAGATGTTTATTTAATGATTTTTTAAAAGAATAACAATGTGGTCAAAAAGGAGAGAGTTCCTGTTCACAGTACAAAACAAATAGAACAGCCCCGAGCCACTACCCATACACAGCGGGAGCCGCGGCCACGCGTCCGCACTTCTGCCCCGCCGCCTTCTGCTGCCAATGGAAGTTTTTTAAACGTGGAATTTCTGTAGCTCCGTGTGGAGTACATGCTAAGTGCTACCTAAGCCAAGAAGTTCCTTTAATGGTGATATACATGAACTGTATAGTTAGGAAAAAATTCGAAACTTCATCAGGCAATGTACCTTTGAATAGATTTCCAGCTCCGATTGTACATAACCGGGCTCTGGAAGTGTGAATGCACCGCGGCAACTGCGTTTCCAAAGCAATTACTTAGGTTGCACAGATGACCGCTAATAAACAGTGATTACAAATGACTACAAAATTATAACAAGCTGCTAAAGTGTCTTAAAAAACAGATCTCAAGCATAGGACTTTCAAAGCAGATCTCTGACACATGCATGTCAACATCCGGGGCTGGTAACATAAACTGAAACAAATGTATCCACATCGGCCTTATTTATTATCTCTTTCTATACTTCCTGTTTCTCCCTGCTGTCATGCACCCTGCAAATAAATGCACGGCCCTTTAGATACAGGAGGCTTGCTGCCTATACACCTATCTACTTAAAAAGAGGATTCGTGAGGTTTTTCTTCCTCCTCTAGGTTTACCTTAATAGACAAACTGTTTAAAACACAATTTAGACCCGAAACAACCAAACTTTGTAGAAAAAATATTTTTTATGGCAAACATCACTTAACACTGTGAAATGTAAGGTCACTTAAGTGAGGGAGCACTCACTGTCAGAATCAACTGAGGATCTATTGGCCAAAGAGAGCCTGTACTACAGACCCCGGTCCTTGCACCTCAGGAAGGTCAGAAGGCTCCGTCAGGCTTACACCCTTCTAAAACATTATTTGCCAACTGATATGTAAAGTTGAGCACAACTGCAGCCTCTGGGTCTATATCCTCCTTTCTAATTTAAAAGGCTACAGATTTCTTTTCATCTATAAATACCTTGTCTAAGCCAGGTGTAACAACTCAAGCCTACAACAACTCCAGAGGCTGAGGCAGAAGGATTGTAAGCTCAAGGTTGGATATGGCAATAGAGGGAGACCCTGTCTGAAAAGAAAAAATTTCTCTTGTGAAGTCATAATAATATACCAAAAGAAAATCTACCTGTTATAGACAAAGAAAGGAAGACACAGAAATAAATTTGACTCTACCTAAATACCTTATAAATAGGCTACTTTGTAAGAAAGCAGCAGAAATAAAAGAAATGATTAGAAGGGAAACAAAAATGAACACATGCCAAGGTTGGGGTTGTGCCAGGCGTGGTGGCACACACCTGTAATCCCACCCCTTGGGAGGCTACAGCAAGAGGATTGCTGTTTGACAGTGAGTTCAAGGACAGTCTGAAGTACATACTAAGACCCTGTCTCAAAAAGCAAACACAGAAAAAAGACTGGGATTTTAAAAATTTTTCCAAAATTTTAGTAACGTAACACTACCTTTTAAAGTAATCTGAAATCTAATAGAAACTGTGACTTTATATGAGACAGAAAAATAAAAACACATGGGATCCACAAAACACTGCTTGTAATTACCTCCAAAGCTGTGGAGTCGGCCACGACAGAGGCTTCATCCTTTGGGCTAAGTAAGGGACCACGAGCTAATAACCAACTGTTACACCAGTCTCCCTTCAGTTCCGAGAGAAACCACACTTAAAATTACAGAAAATAAACTGCTTAGTAACAGCCTACTTTGAAAATGTTTTTCCAAAGGCAAATTAAATTTTTAAAATCACCAAAAAGAGGACATGAATAAGCTAGGCAGGGTGGCATACCTGTAAGCCCAGCTACTCCGCAGGCTCGAGGCCAGCCTGGGCTTTTACCAAGCCCTCGAAAGGGCTGAGGGTGGAGCTCGGCAGCAGGTCCGAGCCCCAGGCACACACACTCCCCAGTTCAGAGCGGGGGAGGAAAAAGGACACAAACAAACACACACCAATTTTCTCCAGTTTCAAAACCATTCATTGTTCCCTGTCCAGTCTGAGACTCCTCAGCTCACGTCAGAACTTGCAGAAATTGACATGTCACAGCACACGCACTAACCTTACATAGGGCACGGGATCAGTCTGGATCATGTTCAGTAGCCACTGCAGCTCTTCGTAACTTCTGTCCACTGAAAATACCAAGGAGGAAACACACTCGTGGTCAGTTTTCAAGAGTGACAGAACAAGTAAAAGTGACGAGCAAAGAGCTACGTTTACTATTCAGGACACGGTCTTAGCTAGATTTCCATCCCGAGGTGAGGGCTCCACAGAGCTCCCACATTCTCTCCATGGTTTCATCAATGGACCATTCTGACTTTCACAAGTATGTCTCAGGCCACAGGCCAAGGTCTTTAAATACAACCACTCTGAGGTGTTTAACCTACAGAGGTTTGATACCCAAATACACACACACATACATATATATATATATATATATATCCACCAGGATCAACTGTTTTTGCCTACATGATTTCTTCCATTTAAACTAAATAGCAATCTTAATTTTTAGCAAGACATAAAAGGCAATTAAAGAGTGCTATGAATAGAATTGACATAAAATGACTCAGTAGCGATTTCCATTTACCTTTGAAATGATTTTACTTTTAAAATTTGAAGAGCTTTACTTATAAAATTTTATTACCAATATTTTTCATTTCCTCAAATTTCTAAAATACCAATATTTAAACTTTAAATTGAATAATGAAGTCTTGATTTATGGTTCACATTTAGACACCATTCAATTAAATTATACCTATTAACTGCATTCTCTTGGAAACCATAGTATCAGTACTTTATTTCCTTCCAGCAGTACTAATTCACAAAATCTTCGTATTTATGAAACACTGCATATCATTCACTCATCCTGGAAAAGTAGGTTGGGAATGCTAGCAAATTTAGTGCATCTCCAGACATCTAGCACACCTGTAATCCCAGCACCAGGAGGCTGAGGCAGGAGGACTGCCATGAGTTCAAGGCCAGCCTGTGTTCCATAGTGAGTTCAAGGCCAGCCTGGAGTACATAACAAGACCCTGTAGATTTCAAACCAGTTAAATGACAAAGTAGAAAGGTAGACTGATACAGGATTACAGTATTTTTTTCCTTGCTGAAGAAGTCATTATTCACTATTTCTACCATTATTTCTACCATTACTATGGTATTAAATTATTACTATTATTAAATTATCACTATTACCATCATTATTGTTAAATCACTACTATAAAGTTATCACTACTATTATTATGGTACTAAATTATGAAATTATCACTATTTCTACCAGTATTTCTTAAAGGAAAGCATATTTTAACCACCAAGAAAAAAGAACCAATGACAGTTCTTTCTGAACCGAGCCCAACCTGTACATCACACAAGATGCTGTTACTACCCTTTCTTTATATCAGACTGTAAATACTTCTATTGAAATTTACCAATATCACAAATATTTACGTATTCACGCCTCTATTTAAGGCTTCCAGATGAAGCAGTGTCTCAGGGGAGACTCCCGCCCCTTCCGTCTCTCCAGGCAGACAGGGAGTTCTGCACACTTTCACCTCCACGCTCCCCCACGGTTTTAGTGCTGTAATCTGGAACTTCAGATGCAGGCTACACTTACGTATTTCTTTTACTTGCACATTATTTTTCTAAAAAGCACTTGTGAGCGATGGGTCAAGTTTTACAACTGGTTTGACAAAAGCGACCTTCCCTTTTACAGGCACGGTGTCGGTTCCGTCACTGCAAACCTGCGCCTGTCTGGAAGCGCTGCCCCGGGGGCCGGACACCGCCTCAGGGCGCAGGGCTTGCAGTAACTCCCACTTCCACTTCTGCAAGGCTGCCCCACAGCAGCCTGGGGAGAACCTCGGGGGAGGGCTTTCCCGGAGTCAGAGCCCTGTGCTCCCTGTCCTGGGGCTCTCTATGCGGACCCTCCGAGGAACCTGGGTGGTTACTCCATTCCCTTTCTCTCATTTCATGGATAAGCTTTCTCCCAGTGCGCTTTGTTCTTCATCCACTCTCCCCCCCCCACTTCTGTGTCTTCCTCACCTGATTCTGAGTGTTTCAACGGGCATCCCTGTTTCACTCAGTTTTGGCCCGCGTTAATGTTTTCACCAACTTCATAAAGCCTCACCTAACCTTCCTATGAAGTTCTTGTTCATGCCTCTTGCTCTGTTTCCACAGATACGAATTTTTACGTAGGTGTAAAATGTTTTATTGTATCCTCCTCAGAAATTTCCCAGAAATCTCCTGTTCTTCTTCTTCTTCTTTTATTTTTTTTTTTGAGATGAGGTCTTGCTATATATAGTTCAGGCTGGCCTTGAACTCACTCACTATGTAGCCCGTGCTGGTCTCAAACTCCTGGTCATCCTCCTGCCTCAGCCTCCTGAGTGCTGGGGTGACAGATGTGTGCCACCACACATGGCAAAGAAAGTCTCCCATTTTAAAAAATAGCATGAAATCTATAGAGTAACACAGTGCAATGGAAAACTACAGTGAACACTTAGAATTTGAGACCTTATTAGAGTAAAAGGCCCATTGCTATGAAGCCCCCTCCAAACACTCCTCCCTCCAAACACCCACCCACCGTCCGTGCCACTTTCTGACGCAGCTCTGGTGTCCTCTCCAGAGTGTCTCTGGTTGTCCTGCTGTGGCTACGTCGTTACCATCAACTGGTTCAAAATGCTGACCCTTTGTGTTGTTAAGGTTTACACCTAAAACGTCCCCCAGATTCTCACGCGAGCAGGGTGACTGAAGAGTGGGGGTGCCATCGCTGACCCCCTGCTAGGAGCCTGGGGGAGGGGCCCTGGGGCGAGCCCTGGGGGACGCTTGTCCCAGCTCCTCCTCCCCCTCTGCTTCCTGCCGCGTGGTTAGGCACCCTGCTCTCCACCAGGCGCCTTTGCCGTGGGGTTTCTGTGTCGGAACCAGCCAACCACGGATTAAAACTGCGAGCCTAATAAACCTCTCCTCAGAGTTGTGGGTGCTGGGCATTCTGAACCAGCAACAGGCAATGACTGACACCACGGTCATACCGGAAGGAAGCAGCAGGGTGCGGGACCCCTGAGGAAGGAGGGCGGGCGCGCACTGCCACGCTCTCAGGAGCCCGCATCCCCGGCGGCCCCACTGCAGCGCTCGCCACGCCCGTCACCCCTCACAGCGGCATTGTGAAGGAGGACTCGAACCGCAGAGCCGCGGCGCCAGGGCCGGAGCGACGGCCTGAGTGTGCTCCGCGCGAGGGGAGTCCCGGGGGAGGAGGAGGAGTGCCATGCTGTCACTGACTGTACTGAATCCTTACTTAGGCACACACGGCGTTTTCTGATCGGCCCTAGTGACTTCCCAAAAACGCCAACGAGATGCGTGATCTCATTCCTTTCCCTCACTTATCAATTCTTACATTAATTCAACATTTGCTCCGTATCTTTTCTAAATCAGTGAATCGAGAATTACCAATTAAAACATCTGTGCTGTAAAACCCCCAAAACCAAGGCTGGCTTTAAAAAGTTATTACTTTCTACAACGACATGAGCGTCTCCCTCTGAAGCGCTACCTTTGGTGTAATCAACCACTGCTTCCAATGCTGCTACGCGGATGTCCACGAAGTGGCCGTACTCGGCGTAAGACTTGAAAAGAGTGGGGTCGCTCGGCACGTGCCCGTTCTTCTGAAGGACGCGGATGGCTCTCAAGCAACTGGTGAGAAAGAAAGGTAAGTTAACTATTTTGCTGATGTTTCATGAATCAAATTTGCTTCCTAGGTACTAGAGATTCATTTCTCACAGCAAATTAAAAAATAAACCCATTTTCAATTCTATAATATTCAATTAATATCTAAAATCCGTTAAAAGAAAATAAATTTTAAAATGACTGGAAATTCAGAACTCCATGTATCACTACAGGTGTAAATGAACATATGTAATATTTTCTGCAAAACTTTTAGTACTTGATTCAGTACATAAATGGAACGTTAAAACTGTTCACGTTTCAATCAGTAACTAACTTTAGGAAACTCAAAGTAAGCAGAACATTTTTATAGCCATATGCAAAGAAGCTGGTCTGATAACAAGGCTGAGAATAGAGTGATTCTGCCATATACCCAATGAAATAAAAAAGATGCAGAAATCAAAAATAACACTTATAAAGAATCTCTGATGATGGAGAAAGCACTTCTGATACAAACAATATAAAAACTACGTGATACAAGCTCAAGTAATTAAGAAGTTCTGTACCTACAAAGGAACGAAATTTAGAAGGATATTTCCTAAATAGTAACAATTGTCTATGGATGATAGAATCAGAGAATTTAAATTTTCCCCTTTTAGTTTATTCTGTATTTCCCCTTTTAGTTTATCTAATGAGAATACGTGTATTTTAGTTATAAAAACACAAACACTTGAAGAAAAAGCAAGGAAGTTACTGGTACCTGACAGTGATGGTATGTCTATAGCTCGGAAGAAGTTTCTCCATATTCAAAAACCTTGTGATTTCTTCCAGAATGAGCCGCACATCTGGATTTAAGTTATCCAAAGTCCTTACTTCATTGTTCACGCTGACTGCGGGCGTGACGGAATTGGCCAGGGCATCAATCATTTCTGCCCGATAATAGTTATCTGAAAACTAAAGCAAAGAATAATTAAAGGTAAGTAAAAGCAAGTCTGCTGGTGAAAAGTTAATAGAGTATGTGTAACATAAACAAGCTTATGTAAAACATAAGCAAACTCTCTAGCAGTCAACTCTGTCCTTTGTAGCTACACTTCTGAAAGCAGAACAAAAGAGACTTATTCATCAGTGACACTGAGCTTACTAACGACTTACTACGTGGCAAGGCGCTCTCCTGCTAACTTAGCCAGGTCCTCTCAAGAGACCAGAATCCACAATTCAAAGGTCCCAGTAAGCTATCAAAGCTCTACTTTAACACATAAACATACAACCAAGGGTTACCAGATAGTTGAAGAAAGCATCGACATAAAAAGAAAGAATACAAAAAGTTTTAAAAGCAACTTGGAAATAGAGAATACAGCAAAGACTAGTCTAGCACAGGATAAAATACTTTGAAAATCATCACCAACTCTGTCTGAGAAATGCCCGGCAATATTGCTCTAATGGCATGTTATTGCTGAGAAAAACAGCCAGGCACAGTTATGCACACGTGCACCCGACTGCTTGGGATGCTGAGGCAGGAGGGCTGTGGTTCAGCCAGGCCTTGCACAACCTGTCAGAGGCTGCCGCAGAATAAAAACTGCAGGGCTGGTGAGGCTCAGTAGCGCAGCACTTGCCTAGCACACGTGAGGTCCCAGTTCAATTCCCAGAAGTACACTGCTGACTCACTAACCCACTGATCTACTGAACTAAAAGGGAGGAAGGCCAGGGTGGCTGGGGCCGGGCTGGGGGCCGGGCTGGGGGCAGGGCCGGGGGCTGCCAGCAGGTGGCGGGGACCCCAGTCCTGTGGAACAGGCAGCCAAGCGGCAGGAAGAGAAAAGGCGAGATTCAGCTGCAACACCAAGCAGACTGCACCTCACCAAGGCATAAACCGGCTCAAGTCTGGGCTGCAGATTAAACAAATCCCAGGTTAAAACTTGGCATAACCTCTACAACTTGTTAAATTGTAAATCAGTTCCTTATTCTTGGAAAGCTACAGTTGTTTTTCCAGCCCTTTTCCTCTATTTGAAGTCCTTACTATCTCTCCTGAGATTTTTAGACTCTATCCTGCCTCAGCCTGCCTCCCTCACAGCTGGTGCCTCCGGCTTGCCTCTCCCTTCTCCGCTCGGGTTTTACAGCCCTAATTTACCACGTGTCCCTCCTCCCAGAAGCCTCTGCTTCCCCCTCCTCCACGTGCGTTTATCCTCCATGCACTTGCTCAGTGGCCGGTATCAACTATCCCAACACATGTGCCCGCGTGACTGATGTCTCACTACAGAGGAAGGAGCTAAACAGGTGTGTGTGCATCTCTTAATATTATCAAGGCCTTATATTAATTTCTGCCTAATAAATTAACTTTAGTGGTTTGGTTTAAAGAAAGGTAGGTAAAAGGATGTACTGTTTTCTGGTCTTGTATTTATGACATGTAAAATATATACATGGGAAACATTTCTTGAGAAACAAATAGCACACTGACCAGACTAGTCACATGGGCCCTAAGCTCCTACTCTTACACATCTTTAAGGTTCCGGATGAACCTCCCACACATATCGTCTCATTAGGAAGCCGATGGCTGCACAGAACGGCTGGTCTGCCTTGCCGGTTAGCATATTCCATGGAAATTACTGACCAGGTGTCTTGGGTTACTTTTCTCTCGTTGATGAGACAAAATACCCAACGCCCAAAATGAAGGAAGGAAAGGTTTATTTAGCTCACAGTTTGGGGGGTTTCAGTCCATACTTGGCTGGCTCCGAGGCAGAAGATAGCAAAGCAACAAGAGCAAAGGGGGAATGGCAGCCGAACAGCAATGCAGCCAGAGCAAAAGGGAGGAATGGCTGCAAGCAGCTTCTTTACCTCCATTACATCGTAAACAGGCTACCCCCACCTAAGGGGCGTGTAGCTCTCACATAATTTCCATGCCCTCCTCTTCCACAGGCTCAGGATGTATACAAAGTAAGCACCCTGGCTTCCTGCTGAGTCACTTAGCCAAACCTCTAGACTCCCCAAGTTGACACAATGTATCAACCATAACAATCCACCCCTTGTCAACTTGGCAACCAGACACATTACTTTAAACCAGTTTCCAGATACAAAGACATTATATTACATTAGAATGATAACATTTCACTCCCTAAAGACTCATGCACATCCTTTATGTAAAAGGCATTTAGTCCATCTGCAAGAGTTGCCAAAGTCCTAACAGTTTCAGCACTGCCAAAGAGTTCAAGTCCCAAGTCTCCTCCGAGATATAAGGCAAACTCTTAGCTGTGACCCCCTGTACAAATGGCAAGTTAAAACACTTCTAACATTCAATGGCACCAAATAAGCAGTACCATTCCAAAAGGTACAAACGGGGATACAGAGCATTGGGACCAAAGCAAGTCCAAAATCCAGCAGGGCTAACGTTTTATGTCCTGTAATTCCACATGCAGCATCTGAAGCAACTTGTACCACATTGTGAGCTCCAAAGGGCTTGCATGAGTCCACCCCTGTGGCACTTGTGGTGGTTACAGCTTCCATGGCTTCTCTCTTAGGCCTGCTTTGCTCACTCCCTGCAGCTTTCCTCAGATGATCCACGGTCCTGGCTTTTCTAAACTTCTGAGGTCTCCACGGCACCTTGTGCTTCACACTCACAGTCTCACACACTGCCCCCTCAGGGGCACACTGCCTGGCCTCCCAGGCCTTCTGAAATCTGGGTGGAAGCCTCTTAAACCTCAGAACTCCCGCATTCTCCATGCACCTAAAGTCAGGGCCATGGGGATGATGCCAAGGTCTGCTGCCACCTGGAGCAGTAGCCAAGTTTTCCTCTCTCTTGGCCATAGGGGTCGAGTGCCTGGATAGCTGGGCACTCTGAATCCAATTCTGAGGAACGAATTTTCTATGCTGCTGCCATTCTGGAACATGGCGCTCAACAGCTTTCTTCTCAAGGCAAGGTCTTTCACCTTTGCAGTTTTGAGGCTGCAAAGGGTGGAGACTTGCTGCATCTTGTGATGCCCTCAGGCCATCTTTTTTATTTTCTTGTTCCTTCTCAGCAATGGAGATCTCCTCAGCTCCATCTCTGCAGTCCACAGCTTTACTGGAGCTTCCTTTCTGACCAAACTTATAACATTTTAAATCATCCTGCTGGGCTCTTTGTTCTTGATTCTCAATATAAATCTGGCTAAAAGCCCC